CTGTGCTTACCAAAACAGGAAAACTGCTTGCTGCTTCTGTAATCTTAAAAGCAATTTTTCTTAGAAATACAATGAATAGCTTATGGCTGACTGTTTTAAAGGGTAAGGGATAGAAGAAATGGAAGTTCCTTGAATAACTGAGAAAAGTTAATGTGTTCTGAAAACCTAACCTTATTTTTGTTGTTAATTATGCTTTTTTTTTTCTTGCTTATAAACTGATCTGCAACCTCCCTGCAGTGTTGATGATGTAGTGAAAAGACTATTGTCTCTGGAAATGGCAAGCCAGGTTAGTATCATTCTTGCCTAAAATCTACAAGGTTTAGTGACTACAGTCATGTAAGACTTGCCTATATGGTTAAATGCCCTGCATTTACTTTGTTTATAAATGTCGCTAAGTGACTACAAAGTAATAAATACATGGTGGTATTTAGCCTTGCATGCGCTTAACATTTATTATAGAAGGAAGTCTCCTTTATGATATTAATAACACATTAAAATGAAAGACGATTATATAAACAGGCAGAAATGCAGCTCCATTTTATGTTACTGCTGATGGTTGGCCCATTTTCCAGAAAACTAGTACACTGCACAGCAAATGTTCATACCCATAATGGTCCTGAAGAAGTGACCAGCTCTATTCTATTATCCACAGAAGGAGAAGGTGAAGATAAAGACTCAGCAGCTAGTGGAGAAGGTCAGGAGGTCTCCCAACGACGATGGCTCCTTTGAGGTGCAAGGTAAGTTAGAGAAGCAGAAGGCAGTTGTTGGCAGATGACATTTCTTTTTGATTTGTTCAGCTCTTCCCACCCCATCGCTTGAAGTTTCCTGTTCCAGCTAGGAAGATCTCTTTCAGGAGAGCACTCGGAGGGCAGGGTGCTTGCAGTCTGCCCTGGAGGACGTGGTCGGGATTTGGGAACGCTGCAGAGATGGTGCAGACTGACACAGGGAGCTCTGGCTGAAGCACCGTGCAGGGGTGAAGCCGGTATCACCCTGACCCAGATGCACTCCTTTCACAAGAACAAAGATTCGCGTTTTGTCAGGCTGCCACTAGCACCATTTTCCAAAGCATGAAATTACCCTCCACAAAAAATAAATATAGCTTGCTGCTGCTGTTAAAAGGAAAACCATAAGTTGTGCCTGTTCTTCCAAAGCTTAAATGAAGAGAAATGTGTGTAAACTCACTGGTAATTAAGGAGGGCAAGAGGAATTTTAGGGATAAATTCATATTGTATGTTAAAATTTTAAGCACTAATCAGCTTTACAGTAATAATTCTCGCTTGAATTTCTATTTGGTGATTTGCTTTGCATTTATTTAGGAGGCTGTGCAGTAATACTTGTAGTGTTGCAGTGAGCACCCAGAAGGACAGCAGTCCCCAAAGGGTGGAGTGGAATGCAACTGATACTATCCCACTAGGAAGCTGCTGCTTTCTTATGTCTGTCCTTTGTAGTTGCTAGGTTGACTGCCAAGATTCGCACTTATGAGGAACATCTTCAGAAGCGTCCCAAGGTATCGGTAATCTGAGCCTACCACTCTGAGACAGCTGCTCTGTTGGTTGTTTTCTGGGTTTAGAACAAAAGGATTTTAATTCTGGGTATGGGGAGGGCACAGACTAAATTGTTTGTAAAATGGCTGTAACCATTTCCTGGTGCCAAGCTAAGAAATTGCTGGCTCAGTCACAACTCAAGTGTGGAGTGTGCGCTTGTTGTTACTGGTTGGTGGAAATGGCTGGGCAAATACCTTCAAACAGGGCTTAACCAGATCTGTTTGTATTGTGGATATGGTTTCATTGCTTAGTTTTCACCATAATTAATTAGAGCACTTCAGCTGTATTCTCACTCAGTTCTGCCTGTGAAAGTGTGTAGTAGAGAGGACTGTATTAGTGTCATAATCACTAGTTTCTTACCTAAAGTTGCTGAGGGTCAAAGCCCAAATGCAAAACATCACAACCTACAAACTTATGAACAAGATGCCTTAAAGGTTTGTAATGCACAAGTTCTATACATTTTTCAAATTACTTGGATCAAGCCTGCCTTTGAGTTGCCTGTAAAGAATGGGGAGGAAATTTCTTCCATGATTGCCCTTAATGACATCGTTCAAGGTATACATGATCCTCCCCAAGAATAACCCAAGGTGTCAAATGGAGCCAAGTCCCATTTAATTCTTATTTTCATATGTAAATTCTTAATAAAGATAGCGCTTCTCTGTTATTTCTGGAACTATACATTTCAGGACACTATCTTGCTTGTTTAGCAAGATGGTCTTCTCCTTGTAACCATCACAGCTTTTGCCAGCAAGAGGGGAAAGTGAAAATGATTTTTTTTTTTTAGCCATGATATGGTTTGTTTTCAGCAATTTATTGGAATGGAAGTACAATTTTTCTGCAATCTAGTGAGCGTTAAGTCCCTTGCAGGATAAAAGTAACCGTCGTCGCATGCTGATGGATATGGATCGCCGGAGGAAACTCCTCGCGTACCTTCGTCGTGTCCGCTACGATGTTTTTGAAAACACCTGCAAACAGTTGAACATCCAGTACACTTTTCCCCCTGCCTACTCCAGACGGATCACCAAGCGCTGGCTCGCCAAGAAGGCTTTGTGCCTCAAGGTAGGGAGCGATCCCAAGGAGAAAGGCACAGCTGGACAGTGTCGGTGGTGTAGAGCTGTAAACGGCAGTCCACGAAAACTGGGGTGACAGCATGGGCTGGGTAGGACCGAATAGCCAAGGATGGTGCCCTAAAACCAGGGCAGCTCTGGAGGGAAGAGAGAGGAAAGAGGCTGATGTGACTGGCACATGCTGTCCCCGCTGTGCTCCCTTCCCTCACCTTCCCATATTCCCGCTGCAGGTTTTCCAGGAGGTGCAGAAGCTGAAGGCACCGGAGAGGCTAAAGCAGAGACAGGAGTGGCGGGCCAGGGCCAAGGCCAGGGCCAAGGCCGAAAAGGAGCGGCAGGCACAGCAGAGCGAGGGGACCGCGGTGTAGGGACACGCGGGGCCCTGGCGCTGTCTGCAGGTGATGGAGCCGGCGCTTTAATGAATAAATAATGAATTGAAATAACGAAATAATGAATAACGTCCAGTGTCTGCAGACTCGTGTGCGACACGCAAGTATCCAGCGGGAGCAAGCAGCTCAGTAGACCGCATGGGGCCAAGAGGGCCCTACGGGCTTTTGTGTGGACCCCAGGGGCTTCTGTCCGCACGGGACCGGGCAGCCCCTATGGACTTTTGAAGGGCCTATGGGGCCAGGAAGATCCTGTGTGGACTCCCGGAGACTCCGTGTGCACTGGGCCAGGGGGCCCTGCAGACTTTTGTGCGGCCTTCCGGGCCTCCATGCGCACTGGGCTGAGGGGCTCTACGGGCTTTCATGCCCGCACAATAGCCTATAGGGCCCACTCATCTCCATGCGCACGGAGGTCCCAGGACAACACACGAAAAGTCCATTGAGCTCCCCCGGCCCAGCGCGCACGGAGGCTCTCAGAGGCTGCACAAAAGCCTTTAGGGCCTTGCTTTGTGAGTATGCGTGGAGGCCTGGGGTGGCCGCAGGAAAGCCCTTAGGCCCCCACCCCGGCCCAGGGTGCATGGAGGCCCTTGGAGGCAGCACAATAGCCTTTAGGACCCCACCAACATAGTGTGCATGGAGGTCCCGGGAGGACGCATGAAAGCCGGTAGGGCCCCCCCAGCCCAGTGCACACGACACCCCAAGAGGCCACACGAAAGCCCGTCGGGCCCCCAAGGTCCAGTGTGCATGGAGGCCCTTGGAGGGCGCACAAAAGCTTGTAAGGCCCCCCAGCCTAGTGCGCATGGAGGCTCTGGAAGGCCACACGAAAGCCTATAGGGCCTCCCTGTCCCAGTGTGTACGGAGGCCCTTGGAGGCCACACCAAAGTCCATAGGGGCCCCCCCGGCCCGGTGCGTATGGAGGCTCTCGGAGGCTGCATGAAAGCCCATAGGGCCCTCCCAGCCCAGTGCGCACAGAGGCCTTTGGAGGACACACAAAACCCTGTAGTGCCCCCCTGTCCACTGCACATGGAGGCCTTTAGAGACCGCAAGAAAGCCCTTAGGCCCCCCTGGGCCTAGTGTGCACAGAGGCCCTTGGAGGCCTCATGGAAGTCTGTAGGACCTCCCAGCCCAGTGCGCACAGAGGCCCTAAGAGGCTGCACGAAAGCCCATATGGCCTCCCCGGCCCAATGTGCGCAGAGGCCCTGGGAGGCTGCATGATAGCACGTAGGGCTCCCTCAGCCCAGTGTGCATAGAGGCCACACAAAAGCCCGTATGGCCCCCCTGGCCCAGTGAGCACATAGGCCCTGGAAGGCCGCACGAAAGTCTGTAGGGTCCCAATGGCCTAGTGCACATGGAGGCCCCGGGAGGCTGCACGAAATGCCGTAGGGCCCCCCTGGCCCGGTGTGCACGGAGGCTCCGTGAGGCTGCATGAAAGGCCATGGGGTGTTCCAGACCAGTGCGCATGGAAGCGCCAGGAGAACACACAAAGGGCATAGGGCGCCCCCTGGTGTTTGCACATGGAGGCCTTGGGAGGCCTCACGAATTCCCATACAGCCCCTTCCAGTCCAGTGCTCACGGAGGCCCTTGGAGGCCGCACGAAAGCTCGTAGGGTCTCCCCCTCCCCAGCCCAGTGTCCATGGAGGACCAAGGAGGCCACCTGAATACCGATAGGGCCCCCCAGGCCAGTGCTCACGGAGGCCCTCTGGGCCGCACGAAAGACCATAGGGACCCCTGGCCCAGTGCACACAGAGGCCCTGGGAGGCCACACGAAAGGCGTAGGACACCTCCTGGTGTTTTGCACATGAAAGCCCTGGGAGGCTTCATGAATGCCCATAGGGCCCCCCGGTCCAGTGCTCACGGAGGTCCTTGGAGGCTGCATGAAGGCTGATAGGATCCCCCTGGCCCAGCGCGCATGCAGGATCCAGGAGGCCACATGAATACCCATCAGGACCCCCTGGCCCAGGGAGCACGGAGACCCTCTGAGGCTGCACGAAAGACCATAGGGACCCCTGGCCCAGTGCACAGAGAGGCCCTGGAAGGCCACACAAAGCTGCAGGGCACCTCCTGGTGTTTTGCACATAAAGGCCTTGGGTGGCTGCATGAAAACCCATAGGGCCCCTCCTTCCCAGTACTCACAGAGGCACTTGGAGGCCGCGCGAAAGCTCATTGGGCCTCCATTGCCCAGTGTTCACGGAGGCACTGGGAGGCTGTACAAAATTCTGTAGGACTTCACCAGCCCAGTGCATATGGCCGCCTGGGGAGGCAGCACAAAAGTCCGTAGGGCCCCTCAGCCCTGTGCCCATGGAGGTCCTTGAAAGGCGTAGGGCATGGCCCGGTGTTTTGTGCATGGAGGCCCTGGAAGGCCACATGGAAGCCCATATTGCCCCTTAGCCTCGTGTGCGCAGAGGCCCCAGGAGGCAGCATGAGAGTCAGTCAGAGGTCCATGGTCGCACAGGTGTCATGAGCGGCGCCTGTCCTCGACCGGACCCCATCATGCCAGGGAATGCAGGGAATGGAGGGGGGGGAATGTATTAGGGAAAAGGGTGGAGAATCAGTGTCCCATCTTAAGCATGCAAATGAGATGCTAATGACATGCAAAGTCGATGGTAAAGAGAGCAGGACTGGCTGTTCAGACAGCACCAGTGTCAGCTTGGGGGGGGGGGGGGGGGCGGTCCTAAAGCCCTTTAGAGTTCAGAGGTGTGTTGCTGTTGCAGCCCAGGAGTTGTGAGACCTTCCTGAGATGCTAATGAGATGCAAAGTCTATGGTAATAAGACCACGACTGTCTCTTCCCAAGATCTGTTCCTAGCCCTGTTTTCTGGCCAGGAAAGTGGTAAGGGACAAAACTGGTCCATGAAAAGAGGCGGGGCTTGGGGGAGCAGGGGCGGAACCGACTTTGGGGCATGGTCAGGGACAGAGGGGCAGGGCACAAAGAGTTTGGGGTGGAAACGGGACTGTTGTTTTTATTGTGTGGGGACCCTGGAGACGAGGGAGTTCCGTCTTCTGAGTAATGATCTACTAAATAGATGCTAATGATATGCTAATGAGGTCAG